AAAACTAATGTTCTCCCATGTAAACTCACATAATTCACAATAAAACAAAACAAAAAAGACCAACCAAGACTCATAGAGGCAGAAAAAAACTGTCCCCCAAATATGACAGTGAAAACTGAATAGTTGCCATCTTGTCTAGAAGAGTCTGGTGAAAGGAGATGGGATAAGATTCTTATGATTTAATAATGAATATTTGTTAACATGACTAATTGTGACTGTCGCAACTGTAAAGGTAGAAGTTTTGTAACAAAAAGAGAGAAGTAGTTAATCTTACAGTCCAGGAACCCAGGACCCTAGGACCATCAAGGAAGAAGAGCACTAGTAGAATGTGGGACCCTATCCAGAGAAGCAGCGATACCAGAGATGATGGAGGCAGAGATGAGGACTTGGAGAGAAAGAGCAGCTGAGGACTCTAGACTCATGGAAAGAGAAATGCTGTGTGCTGGTGGCCAGAAGGCAGGCTTGCAGAGTGTGCCCTTTGGTTATTTAAATGATTCTATATTCCTCAGTGTTTTTGTGTATATCCCCACACACACACCAAAAAAACAAAACAAAACAACCCAAAACAGGGAATAGAAGCAAATACTATTGAATGTTGATGCATGGAGGAAATTGTAATCATTGCAATGAAACAATGAGTGTAAAACCAATGTGCTCCCATGAAAACTAACAATTATCAATAAAAACTTTAAAAACCATAAGATGGTAAAATTAGGACATCTCCAGATAAACAATGGGAAATCTGTGAGAACCAGAGCAACCTTACACAAAGCTAAAGGCAGTTCTTTGGCAGAGAATCAACAAGATGTAGCTAACAACCTAACATGAACACACATGACAATATCACCCAGCACTCAACTCAGATATGTTGTTGTGTGCTGTTGAGTTGGTTCCGACTCATGGCCACCTTGTACAGGTATTCAGAGAAATACTTGTTGTTGTGAATGCCGTCCTGTAGGTTCCGACCCATAGTGACCCTGTATAGGGTTTCCCAGGAGCAGTTGGTGATCTTGAACCGATGACCTTGCAGTTAAAATGACTTTGCAGTCTGGTGCATTAACCCACAGCACCACAGCAGGACTTGTTGTTATTGTTGTTAAGTGCCGTCGAGTCGGTTCCGACCCATAGCGACCCTGTACAGGGTTTCCGAGGGTGTAAATCTTTACGGGAGTAGAAAGCCTCATCTTTCTCCCGCGGAGCGGCTGGTAGTTTCGAACTGATCTTAAGGTTCGCAGCCCAATTCATAACCACTACGCTACCAGAGCTCCTTCCACACCAGGACTAGTGGGTTTAAATTGCCAGCCTTGAAGTTAGCAGTCCAGTGTTTATTCTACTGAGCCACACCAGTGATCCAACCCAGATATGTAAGTATCCAAAGCTAACCAATACTACAAGATTGAAAATAAGAAACCAAAGTTATCAGTTTGCAACGGTAACAAAACCCACAAGTACAAAGGGAATAGTGTAGTCACAAAATTTTCTAGTAAATAGAAAATCAAGTAAATTTCAAGAAAATAAATACAAATAAACGAAATGTAACCCTAAAACTAGCCCAAGCCCTACTCCTAAACCTAGTGGAACCTCTACCCCATTCCTAACAACAACAACCCTGAGGCTACATACAGGGAACTCTAGGTATAGCCTAGATTTATTCATATTCCTAACTTCATACTTAAACTCCCCACTATCAAAAGTAAAAATAAATATCGAACTACGATATTAGCATCCGTGTAGTCAGGTGTAGTTCCAACACCGGAGGACCCCACTCTGCCCACAACCACTTGCCACCATCGCACCTTCAACCCCTCTTCGGCTCCTCGCACCTCCAAATCTTATTTCTGTACTTGTTCAAGAAGTGGCATCTGCAACAGTGTGGGCTTGGTATGTTGGGGTCGTGTCTCAAGCTTAAAGGAAATAATCTCTCCCTGAGCTCTGATAGCGTAGTGATTATGAATCGGACTGCGAACCTTAAGGTCAGCAGTTCGAAACTACTGCGGGTGAAAGATGAGGCTTTCTGCTCCTGTAAAGACGTACAGCCTCGGAAACCCTATTCAGGGTCACTCTGAGTCGGAACCGACTCCACGGCACTGCCCCCATCCCCACGCATGTCAGTGACGGGACCGGGTGCCCAGAATGGAGACAGCCAGAATAGCCGTCTGTCGAGTGTTGTAGAAATCGGGTGAAAGGTGCAGGGAGAGACCAGGGTTAGCCCACCGCTATGGGGCGTGCGGGCACCTGGGATTGGCCTGCGGGTGGGCCGGAGGACGACAACCTGCGACCAGGGAGGAGAGCCGGGCCAGCTCTCCAGCGCAACTGAGATCCGGCCTCCTAGAGCGGCCGGAAGCCCTGCCTCCGGTGTTCTCATAACAACTTCCGCTCGGGAAGTTTGAAAATGTCCGGAGCGCCGAGGCGGCTGCATTAACGTTCCGAACCTCAGCTGTCACTGGGTGAGTGTACCCCGACCCAGATCGCCCCTCCGCCCATCCGATCACCCGTCCTCGGCCGTCCCGGCTGCTGGTGAGCTCCAGTGAGTGGTCGTGACTTGGGGGCTGCCCTCCGACGTGTGCGGACCTCGGCCCTGTCCTACCCTGGGGCTGTTTGTAGTCTTTCCAGCTCTCCCTTTCCCCTGATTCCCACGTTTCCAGTTATAGAAGTCTCCATCGCGGATGGCGTCAGCTGTCATTCACAGAGCCTGGCCTGCGCTAAGGGCACCAGACGTTATGCCCTAGTTAGTGCTGAAGACACTTGACCCTCTCAGGCCCCACCCTTCCCCGTTCCACGTCCCCCCCCCCCCCCCCATAGAGAAGCAGAATTTTGTCAAATAGCAAATGCCACCGTCCGCCTCCCCCGCCATTCCCCCCCCCCCCCCCCCGGGAACCTCTCCGGAAGGTGATTGGATAAGTGGGGCTCTTCCAGGAGACAAGCAGAAGCCCGGGGTTCCCCGCCCTCCTCCTCCATCACTCACAAAGCCTTGTCATTTTCATCTCACACTAACAGTCAAACCTGGTCCATTACGACTCCGGTGACGACTGGTGTGTCAAGCAGAGCTGTGCTGCACTGGGTTTGAAGGCTCCAGTCCTTCAGCAGCAGAACATGGGGCTGCAGCCGATATGGACTCAGGGGAAGGCTGTGATGTGGCCCTGTTTGTGGGGCACTGCTTGGAGAAGCACCGCTCCTGGCTCAGCCAGAAATGGTTGGTCTCACTTGGTAACCGACAGTGGCCACTCCGGTGTGGAGGGAGCGCACAAATCCAGACCCCATTGACCTACAGGGGTCCTGACCTTCCCTTCCCCACCTCCAAAGTTCTTCTCCATCCCGTGGGAGGTGGGACCTACAGAGCCGCCAGGTGTGTGCACAGGTGGAGCTAGTTTTCCCAGGATTCACTGGGTCACTGTGTGGGTTGGATGTTGGGGACTGCGTGTTCCTGAGGGTGCTCTTGCTCACCATCTCTGTCTCCCCAGATTGCTCGCTCCCCAGCACTTGCCTTTCCCGTGATTCCAGTCGCCAATGGATGGGCCCCAGGTGAGTGTGTGATTGCTGCAGGCAGACCTGCGTGGTGGGGATGGTATCCATGAAGGACTCCCAAGGCTCCAAACTGAACGTGTTTAGAGGGCTGGGGGGTGGGGGGGTGGGAGAAAAGGCAGCACGGTTAGTTTACACGAGAGAGCAAACGGAAATGCTTTTGACATCCGAGTCTTGACACCCAACTCCGCAGACGCATGCGCAGCCAGGCTTCCTTTTACTACCTGGTTTCTCTATCTGTTGACCCCTGCACCTCCTTTCTGACCCGCACCGGGCTGCGCTGTCCATTTTGTAGGAGCCCATGACCTTTGAAGACTTGGCCGTGCACTTCTCCAAGGAAGAGTGGGCGTGTCTGGACCCCGTCCAGAGAGCGCTCTACAGGGATGTGATGCTGGAGACCTTTGGGAACCTGTTGGTGCTAGGTGAGGACCCTAGAGGCCTGGGCCTCGGAGCCCCGGTCCTGTCAGTCCGGCGGGGAGCAGCACAGTACATGCTAGGGTCGCCCACCTTCCCGGTTCAGGTCTTCTAGTTAGTGTGTGGGCTGCTGGGACATTCTGCACCCCCCGCCCCCCACCCCCCACCCCTTGCAGTGAGAGCTGACACCAACTCCCTTCTCCCTGTCATCACTGCTTGTGGAGGGGAAAATCTTTTCTGGGGACCACAAACTGGCCTGGTCTCTGGATGCTTACCTTGTGCCTATCCGAGGGTGGTCTGAGCCTGTTGACCTGCTCTCTCTATGGATGTGACACAGCCCATCTCAACCCCCTTAACCCCCTCCAAGGGTTCCGAGGGCAACGGCCATGCCTCATCTCGTGTCTGGAGCGATGGGCAGAACCATGGACTGACCTGTGGGAGAGACCTGAAGCTCCTGCCCTGCCGAGGGGCTCCCACCCAGGTGAGGTTCCTCAGGCCCACAGCGTGGAGGCCCTGCTCAGCTCTGAACCCTGCCGATCAGTCTCCCTGGGGGCGGGGAAGGAGGTGACCTGCAGAGACCCTGTGTGTGTGGGCATGCATGGCTCCTGCGCTGGGCATTGTCTGCGGCAACTCCTTGATCCCCTGGGACTGCCCGCTCATCTATAAAAATGGGTTGATAGTGCGCCTCCCTCCGAGGCTGCCTCGTCTTCAGAAGCAGTCCCCTTCTGAAGGCACTTACTCCTCGTCACCCTGTCACAGGGAGGCCATTTCCCCAGGAGCTGTGGTGCTGCTATGGTTAAGTGCTCAACTGCTAACTGAAAGGTCTGCGACTTCTTCACAGAACCATAAAGCCATTTCCTTCCATAAAGATTATAGTCCGGCCAACACCATGGGGCAGGTCACTCTCTCCTGTGGGGTTGCTCTGAGTTGGCACTGGGTTTGGGTTTGGGGCATTACCAACATTGTGCAGGTGAGGAGCTTGGGGCCCAGAGGTGGTGGGGGCCAGCTGGTGGTCAGTGCTGTATGGACCCACCCTCAGAGGACAGTGGGGTGTGGGCATTTGTAGGACAGAGGCTGGAGCAGGAAAGGCCCAAGGATGGTGTGGTGTGGGCTCCCTCTCAGGTGTGGACAGGTGTCCCCAGGGCTAGGCTTGTTCCCTTGGCTGCCCTCACTTTTGACAAGAGGGGGCAGCCTGTATTGTTTTCACTTTCTGAATAAGCAGCTGCTTGTTTTCTTTTATTCATCGCAGAGTCTCTAAAACGTGAAATCGAGCAGTGCTATGAGAACAAGACAAGTTGGGGAGACCCTAAGTTCTGTGGGACCCCAGGATGGGGAGGGATGTGGATCCCTAGATTGAGGGAAGGTAAGAGGTCTGGGTTCCTCTAGCACCCACGGCTCCCAGGCCCTGTTAGGGGCCAGGAAGTGGAGATGGTGTCCTTACTGAAGGAAGCCCTTGGCAATCAACAGCTTAACCCCACCAGCCCCTCCTGAGGATGAAGAGGCTGCTATAAAGGCTCCCATCCCCGAAGCCTATGGGGCAGTTGTGCCCTTCAGGGCCCCTAGGAGGTGCCACTGACGCCACAGCCGCTGTGTTCGTTCTCATGGGATCTCTCTAGGGCTATTTATGTCATTGTAAGTGAAACCTTCACACTGTTGGACCATTGAAACCCCTCCCCTCCGGCACTGACTCACACTGCGGCCTAACAGCCCTTTCTCCTGGTGAGCATGCGCATCCTTGCCAGGTCCCCTGTCCTACCTAGCTGGTGGAAAGGCGACTGTGAGCATCTCTCCCTCCCCCTGGGCCCCTTTCAGAAGAAGACCTAAGGGGGCCAGGGCCAGTTAGGTAGCCTGGACAGCATTTCTCCAGGCTGCCCCTCAGCTAGCCTGTTCTCTGCAGGGACCAAGAGACTCCCTCACCAGGAGAGATGCAGCAGCCGGCTGCCGTCCACACCCACAAGCATCCCCGGGAGGGGGTCCGGCAGGTGCCCGACCCTGCAGTCTCCGACGTGCGGTCGGCGCTCTCGCCGAACAGACGGACACGCGTTCATCTGCGACACTTGTGGCAAAGCCCTGAGCAGCCACAGCCAGCTCCTCAGCCACGAGACCGTGCACACGGGCGCCAAGTCCCTCGAGTGCCTCCAGTGCGGCCAGGCCTTCCGCTGGGTGTCCAACCTCCTGCGGCACCAGCGGAACCACACGCGCGAGAAACCCTTCCGCTGTGAGCAGTGCGGCCAGGCCTTCCGCCTGAAGGATCGGCTTTCACAGCATCGCAAGGTGCACTCGGAGCAGAGGCCCCATCGCTGCGCCGCCTGCGGCAAGGCCTTCAAGCAGCGCTCCAACCTGCTGCGGCACCAGCTGGCGCACACCGGCGAGCGGCCCTTCCACTGTGGAGACTGCGGCAAAGCCTTCCGCACCAAGGAAAACCTGACCCATCACCATCGGGTGCACAGCGGCGAGAAACCGTACACATGCGCCGACTGCGGGAAAGCCTACCGCTGGCCCAAAGGCTTCAGCATCCACCAGAGGCTGCACCGAGCCCAGCGTGTCTACACCTGCGACCTCTGCGGAAAGGGCTTCCGCCACCTCGGCTACTTCACGCGACACCAGAGGACCCACGGGCGAGGGGATGTGTAGACGCCTACAGCCTGAACCCCGAGAGATGCACTTTTCAGGCCCGGAAAAGGGGTCCAGCAGGACGAAGGGGTGGTGAGCGGGCGGCCCAGATTCTGGTGCCCCCTCCTCCCTCCCCACTGTCCCCATGCATCCTGGCCTGCCTGGGGCCCTGCTCTCCCATCCTGCACCCTTGTCCTCCCTCGCCTTGTCTTCACGCCCATCTCCCTAACAGAGGCAGCACTCAGTTTCTACCTTTGGGTATTAGAATGGAACACCTTCTCCCATCCCGAGCTCTACTCCACCAGGAAAAGGTGCAGAAATGCTCCTTGGAGCCGGTGTTCATGGGCAGTGTTGGTGCAGAATCCTCACCATGGTCCAGGTGCGCCGGCTCTGAGGATCAAGTGTCTCGGCGTGGGAATTACATGGCTGAGAATTACTGCCAATCTGTGGGACTTCGGTAAATTCTGGGGCAGGAGATCTCCGGTGAGACAGCGTTCTGCCCTTGGTTTACACTCACACACTCAGATTCCGAGCCCGGGTGGGCGGGGTGATCCTGGTATGGAAATCAATTAACAAGCCTGAGTGACCATCCTGAGGGTCTGCTATTACCTGGGCCTGAGGTGTGATTAGGAGTTACTGTTCATTTTATGGTGGCCGTTATAAGGAGCTCTGGTAGCACCGTGGTTACGAATCGGGCTGCTAACCTCAGGGTCGGCAGTTCGAAACTATCAGCTGTTCCGTGGGAGAAAGATGAGGCTTTGTGCTCCTGGAAACATTTACAGCCTCGGAAACCCTGTACAGGGTCAGTATGAGTCAGAACCGACTCCACAGCACATAACAACAACAACAACAACCATGGAGTTGGTGAGCCACAGCGGCTGTGTGTAGGGTGTCCAAGGAGCAGCTGGTGAGTTTGAACCACCGACCTTGCGGCTCAAACGAACCGAGATCCAGTGCATGATCCTGTAGTGCCAGTAAAGCCTTGACTAACAAATGGGTCAGCACGTGAGTGTCCCCCAAATAAAAACCCACTGTCCACGTTGATTCCAAGTCATAGCAGTTCTGTGGGGCCGACTAGAAGTGCCCAGAGGCTGTCTGCGGGGTGGCGCTGTGGGATAAAGCACTGACCGCAAGTTCTGTTTGAACCACAAGGTCAGGAGTTCAAACTCAACAGTCGCTCCTTGGCAACCCTATACCTGGTTGCTATGAGTTAGAACAGACTTGACGGCACTTCACAGCAATAATCTTTACAGAAGCTGACTGCCTACACATTTTGCTCTGTGGAGCAGCTGGTGGGTTCCAACCACTGAGATTTCAGCTGAGCACTTGCACCTGCAAAAGTAAAGGCAGGCACAGAATGAGCCCTAATAGGAACCGCAGAAGTAGTTCATAATCAGGTACCCATGTTGGCTGATTAACTGTCTCAAAGGCTCCCCAAGAAACAGCAGTGTTGGGGGGAGGCAGGGGAACCCTGTACTTTCTGTGGAGTCAGCCTAACATTGCTCTAAAACCAAGATTCTAAGTCACTGAAGAACGAAAGCATGCTGCCACCAAACGCAAAGTCAGGAAGGCGTGAGCGACATCAGGCCTCTGGGGCTGAGGAGAAGGGTAAAGACTCAATCTTTGTAATTGGCGAGCTGAAATGTGCCTGTTAATGTGTCTCAGGTTTCCATCCAAGTGGTAAAACACATGAGTGGGCATGGGGTGAGAGATTCAACTGAAGACGTGGAAAGAGGAAAATAGGAAAGCGGTAATTAATCCCAATCCAGAACGCTGCTCTGTTGTTAAATTCCATTGAGTCCAGCTCATAGCAAGCCTGTAGCGGGGTTCTGAGGTTTTACAAAAACACCCGTGCAACAGCAGAAAGCCTTGTTTTCTTCTGCAGACCGGCTGGTGGGCTAGAGCTGTGGATCTCACCCTACATAGCCGCTTCGCTCCTGGCAGGTCATGGTACTTCCGATGTTTTTCATCAACACTGTAACTCAAATGCATGGATTCTTCTACAGTCGTCCTGATTCAGGGTCCAGCGGTCACATGCACATGTGGTTGGTGGTACTTGTGTGTTGTAGAGTTGGTTACCATTTACATGACGCTGTATAGGGTTCTGAGAGTGTAAATCTTTACGACAGCAGAAAGCCTCATCTTTCTCCCACAGAGCGACTGGTAGATTCAAACTACTGACCTTGTGGTTAGCAGCCCAGCACGTAACCTAGTAGGTAACCAGGGCTCCTTACCTAGGAGATAACTGAAAACACCAGGGCTTGGGCGTGTTTGTCTTTAATGCTTGAATGAGGTCTTGTGCGGCAGATTCGCCGAATGTGTCATTTTATTTCTTGATCGCTGCCTTCCTGAACATGGATTGTGGATCCAAGCAAAATGAAATCTTTGACAACTTCAATCTTTTCTCAGTTTGTCATGATGCTATTTACTGGTCCAGTGGTGAGGATTTTTGTTTTCTTTACACTGAGATGAGTTGAAATCCATACAGAAGGCTGGAGTCTTTGATCTTCATCAGTGTTTCAAGTCTCTTCATTTTCAGCAAGCAAGGTTGTGTCATCTGCTTCTAGGATTATTTGCTCACCATACAGATTGAATAAGTACGGTAAAAGGATAGAAGCCTGACACACACCTTGCCTGATTTTAAACCATCCACTATACCCTTCTTCTATTGTAACTAACTACTGACTCTTGGCCTATGTACAGGTTCCTCATGACTACAATGAAGTCTTCTGGAATACCCATTCTTTGCAATATCATCCGTAGTTTGTTATGATCCACAGAGTCAAACACCTCTGCATAGTCAATAAAGCGCAAGCAAACTATTTCTGGCACTCTCTGCTTTTAGCCAAGATACATCTGACATCAGTACTGGTAACCCTCATTCCAAGCCCTCTTCTGAATTTGACTTGAATGTCTGTCAGCCCTCTTGTCAATGTTCTGCTGCAGCCATTTTTTTATTGTCTTCAGAAAGTTTTCCTTCTGTGTGGTATTAATGATACTGTTAGGGGATTTCAGCATTCTGTTGTATCACATGTCTTTGAAATACACACAATGAATTTCTTCCAGTTGGATGACCTGGTAGCTGTCTTACTTCTGGACATAGACAAGTGAGTACAGGACCTTCTCAGCGCTTCATCAGCTTGTTGCATCAATTTCTGGGACACGGTTTCCACCAATGCCTTCGAGTGCAGCTTCAGTACCACTGTTTCTTGATTAGACGCTACGTCTTTTTGGTAGAATGATTCTGTATTCCTTACATCTTCTTTTGATGCTTCCTGCGTTAGTCAATATTTTGCTCATGTTGTTAAATGCCATTTAGTTAGTTCCAACTCATAGTGTTATCAGAGCTTCTCTGAAGGAATTGGCCATGCCACTTGGGTTATAATAAAGGAAGGACTTTTATTGTACCAGCACGTGGCTCCGCAGATTCTTATCCAGAGACTGAGCCCAGTTTATAAGAAAGACCCTTGTCTATGTAGTGTTTGGGTCTTTGGGGCATTACAAAGTGAGCAAAGGGAGGTATGTAAGGCTGGCATTTGCTACTTCCTTCATACAGTGGGAAGGGAGCAGCAAGCAAGCAGGGAGTTCACAGAAACAGAAGCAAGTAAGTTTTAATTGGGAGCTTTGTTATCTTCTTGGAGACAAGTCCATACTAGGAGAAATGTAGCTGTGATAATCATATGGGGCTGAGGTGGTCTGTTGCTTAATTTCCAGAATGTGGACCCTGTCCTTGAAATGAGAGATGTACTTGGGGGGGGGGGGCGGTGCTCAGTGCCTGCTTCCACTGGCCTGCCTGCCTGCCTGCCTCAATAGCAGCCCACTATATGGGTTTCTGAGGTGGTAAATCTTTGTGGGAGCGGAAAGCCTCATCTTTCTCCCACAAAGCAGCTGGTGGATTCAAACTGCTGACCTTGTGGTTCATAGACTAGTGCTTACCCTACAGAGTGGAGCCCCCCACACACACCCTGAGGCTTGACTTCTTCACATAAGTTTGAAAAAAACAAAACAAAAACTAAGCCTGTTCTTCCCTTTTGGTTCATGATAATCCACTATATTATTGTCTCAAGCTGTTCTTTGAAATTTCCTGTCTGTCTCTTTTCATAATTTCTACCAGTTGCATTTGCTTCTCAACACTGAAGAGCAAATTTCGGAGTCTCTCTTGATTCCGCACTATGGTCTTATCTTTCTTCGCTGTCTTTTAAGTTACCTTTTGCTCTCTTCTTGTATGATGTTCTTGATGTTATCCCACAACTCTTGTCTACAATTATTGACGGCTACTGCATCAAATGTGCTCTTGAGACGATCTCTACATTCAGGTGGGATGTAGTCAAGGTCATTATTTTAGCCCTTGTGGACTTCTTTGCATTTTCTTCAGCTTCAGCCTCCACTTGTGTTCTGAACAATTGATTTTCCATTCCTTAGTCTGCCTCTGACTCTGTTTTGATGAAACTGAGTTTCTCCATCATTTCTTCCCACTGATGTAGTTGTTTTGATTCCTGTGCATTCCATTTGGTGAGGTCCGCTATTTCCAATGTTCACATTTCAATCCACAGTAATTATCAATGCATCTTATCTGCATGTTTTATCAATTTCATACTGAAGGAGTTGGTAGAATTCTTCAGTTTCATCATCAGTGGCTTAAGTGGTTAGTGTGTAAAACTGAACAGTGGTATTCACTGGTCTTCATATTGTTACTGTTGAGTGCTGTCAAGGCGCTTCCAACTCTTTGGGACCATGGAGTTTTTAAGGAGCAGCTAGTGGGTTTGAACTTCTGACCTTGAGATTAGCTGTCCAATGCTTATCCCACAGTGCCACACCAGGCATATTATCCAATCAAAGGCAGCCTTGTACTTAAGAAAGAAATTGAAATACTCTTCGATGCATGCAACACCATTCCTCCTCAATTTATCATTCACAGCATAGTAAAACGTATTACTGTCCAATTCAAAATGGTCAATGCCAGTCCATTTCAAGTCTCCAACGGCTAGGTCTCTCAGCCTGGGTTTTCTAGAGAAGCAAACGAGTAAAACGTACATCTATAAAGAGAAGTTTATCATCAAGGAAATGGCTTACCATTGTAGAGTTCAAGGTCCCCAGAGGAAGAGAGAACCTTTGCCACATGTTTATTACATTGGGAGCAGGCCACACCCTGTAAGGAAACATCCTTTAAATTGACTGGCTGCTCATAGCCAACTATCGTGGAGTTAACTATGCCTGTATTAGGTTTCATCACCGTGGGACTAAGCACGTCTAAACCTCTGCAAGTCCTACCTACTGACGTTGACACACAACCGTATTATACTAGAGACATGGATCTTCATGCGTTCCATTTTTGATGACTTCCAATTTTCCTAGATTCATACTTCATCAGTCTATATTCGGATTAATGGATGTTTGCAGCCGTTTCTTCCCATTTTGAGCCATGTCCCATCAGTCAATGAAGGGCCTGAAAGCCTTGTCCCATTCAAGCATCAAGAGCTACTCTACTTTGAGGAGGCCGCTCTTCCCCAGATGTATTTCGAATGCCTTCCAAGGTGAGGGGCTCATCGTCAGGCACAATACCTTACACTGTTCCGCTATAAGGTTTTCATTGGCTAACCATTCAGAAGCAGTCTGCCTCTCCTTCATCTTTGTCTGCCCTAGTCTGGAAGCTCGACCGGATCCTGTCTGCCATGGGCGAACCTGCTGGTATTTACAATACTGGTGGCAAAGCTACCACATCAACACAACCACAAGCAACAAGCCATCACAGTACCACAAACTGACAGACGATTGGTGAACTTCCGTTCTAATTTCCTTTCCTGAGGAACACTTATGGGAAGAGCTCTGAAGACCTGGATCGGGAGTGAAGACCTGGATCGGGAGTGAAGTCTTCCAAAGAGGATTTCTGTTTGCTTCTGCCAGAGATCTCGAACTCCCAACCCAGAGCCATTACACGTCTACTTTTTGGTGTGGTTGTTGGTGGTGTTAAGCGCTGTCAAGTCAGTCCCAACTCACAAAGACCCTGCTTAGGATTTCCAAGGAGCAGCTGATGGGTTGGAGCCGCCAACCTTGCAGTTAGCAGTCGAGTGCTTATCCTATAGCACCACACCAGGTGTGGGCACAGGGCAGGAATCAGGCACACAGGTCAAGTGTGTTCGGGGCCCTTGCTGCTATTAATGTATGAGCTCCACACTAAACCTCCAATCTGGACTCCATGCTTCATGGATTTGCCGCCTGTTCTCCATTGTAACCCCAATCCCTTTGAGTTTGGACACCTACGAAGGTCACCCCACCTCCTCTTTGCTCCAGGTGTGCCTGCATTGTGATTCTCATAAGGAACCCCTCATCTTTCACTGGACCTCTGCATTGTCTGTGTGCTGGCCTACCCCTCAAAGGACATGCCCACTGGCTCGCCAGTAGCTCCCCCAAGTGTCCCACAGGCTCCAAACCCCAGAACCTCGCTCTCCCTGCACCCCTCCCCCTCGGCCCAGCTGGAAGTGTCTCGGGTGTCCACTGGCTGGTTGGGCCTCTCTCATATGCTGTGCTCTGGTCTAGGGTCCAAAGCAACCTCACTTTTTAAATACCCTCCTCTCTGCCCCTGAGATGAAGTCTCTGTTGTCACACCTGCCTGCCACTCACCTCATTGTCACAGCTCTCAGTAATGAGAGACTCAGTGGGAGGATTTTAACAACTGGCCCGAAGACTTGCAGAGGTGACAGCTACATGCAGTGTGCAATCCTGTGGAGGGTGGGAGAAAACACAATGACCACGACTGAACTCGAGTTCAATAAGGCATTGCTTCAGGCTCTATTTCCTTACTGGTCATTGCACTACGGCGATGCGGGACAGTCCTTGCTCATGGACACACATATTAGGGGCACAATAGTTCCAATCTAATACCAATGGTTTGGAACAAATTCATACATAAATACAGAGAGAGAGAGAGAGAGAAAACAAATGGGCCCAAATGTAAGCTTTGGGAAATCGGGGCTAGTGGTATCTAGAAATACCCTATACGAGCCTTGTGACTTTAAGTTGGAAATAACACCAAAATTAATTCCTTCTGAAACTTGTAGGACATTATGACGTATGATATTTTTGGCCTCTGGGGGTTGCTGGGAAGCTGCCATCTTGGGGAAGGGGGCACTGTAAAACTGAGTGAATTTGAAGATTTATGCCACCAACCACAATACCAAAGACCCTTCTTGGGGTATATGGATCCCCCTTGTTAAGTGCCATTGAGTCGGTTACCACTCATAGGAACCCTAAACAGGGTTTCTAAGGAGCGACTGATGAGCTTGAACCACTGACCTTACAGTCCAGCGCATTAACCACCGCGCCACACCAGAACTCCCACTACAATGTCTCCCACTGATTGTATCAAAATTCATATCGCCAAGAAATTTTTCATTTCACTCGAAATGCCTTCCATTACTGGAAGCACGTGGTTTTGATTTAAACAATTCAAAGCAGAAAACAATTTGGTCCTAAAAGGTCAAAACAGCAGATTAAAGAGGCCACCCTCAGCCACGAAGGTGCGCCGTTCTGGAACCACGTGACTTGGCATCAGCAGCGCAGACTTGCCTCCTCTTCCCGCTGCCGCCAATGAGCTCTGGTAGCATAGCGGTTACGAATCAGGCTGCTAACTTCAGGGCCAACAGTTCGAAACTACCAGCAGGAGAAAGATGAAGCTTTCTGCTTCCGTCAAGATTCACAGCCTTGGAAACCCTCTTGCAGATGGGTCGGCACTGTCTCCACAGCACATAATTATTATTGGTTCCCGCCGCCGCCAGGCCTCCTTTCCTGTCCTTACCACCAGCTTTCGAAGCCACCGGACTTTCCAACTCCACAAGGGTGACACTCTGGTGGTGTTGGTTCCCCTGCCTGGGCAGCTGTGGTCATTGTCTGAATGGAAGGATGCAGAATCCCAGTGGACAAACCGTGCAAAAGGGAGCATGGAGCCAGTTTGAAGCTTGGAAATTGGAAGTCCAATACATGCAACCGCCCTCCCCCCCCCCCCCAAACGCTGTACATGCAAACCAGACAGATGACCAGGCAACCAGCAGCAGGCTTTTATTGACCCCTACCCTCACCAGGTGGGCGTCCCGCGTTGCCCACCCCATTAGCGCCATGCTGGCTTTCCCTGATCAGCTCAGATTCTTCCTGAGACTGCTTCGGACGCCGCGTCGCTGTTCAGGGTCTCCTTTGACTGCAGAGATCGCGGAGACTCAGGGAAGACGGCATCCTGGGTGGCCGGGCCAGACGACGACCGCGAAGCGATTCTAGAGCTCTCGTTAGACGGGAGCAGGGTGGGAGTCCCTGAGTTCGAGGGCGAAGGGACCAGGGACGGGACCCGCGAAACTGCATGCGCCTGGACCCGGGAGACCCGGCGAGACCGGACCCTGGAGCTCATCTCCAAAGGAGTCACGGACAGGGGCCTGGAAGCCACGTGCCTCTTGTCTGTTGAGTCTGCAAGGGAGCCGGGCCTAGAGCTGGCGGGTGGCGGATGCCACAGCGGTGGGCCCCCGGGGCCCCGGCGCAGCCAGCCATGCACACGCGCTAGGTTCCGTGTGTCCTCGTGCTCGTGCTGCAGCTGGTCACGCTTTTCCAGCAGCTGGCGCCGTGTGTCATGCAGCAGCTGGGCCCGGTGGAGCAGCCGAAACAGCTCCTGCCGTAGGCGCCCGTTGTCCGCCTTGATGGCCTGCGTGTACGCGATGAGCGCACGCGCGGCCTCCCTCTCGGAGCGCCGTCCCAGGGACTGCACGCGCTGGCGCGCCTCTCGCTCCAAGGCCGCCTTGTCTTCCAGGAAGCGCTGCTTCACGCGGTGTAACTGCTGTGTGTGCTCCACGCGCATGTGCAGGAGCTCTCGCTCCAGCGTCCGGATCCGTGCTAGTTGCTCCAGCTGCAGCTCCTGGGGGTGGGGGTGGTGGACAGGCGGGGCCCGTCAGGGGTAAGAAGGAGACCAGTGCGACCCCACCCTACGTGGGCGCGCGCACTGACCTTGTAGGGTTGCAGCTCCTGTACCTGGCGCGACATGCACGCAGCGCGCGACTCCATTTCCAGCAGTTGTGCGCGCACGCTGTCCTCGCGCCCATGGTAGAGCGTAGACAGTTCGGCCCGCTGCCAGCGGATCTGCGCCAGTTCCATGCGGTTCTGGTCGTCCAGCCTCACCACGGCGTTGGCGCAGCGCTGTGCGCGCGCGCTTACGTAGCTGGCGTAGAGCCGATTCTCCTCGCGCAGGCGCAGTGCTTCGCGGTCCAGGAAGGCGTTCTCCTGCAGCACGTGGTCCAAGCGCTCCTCGCAGGCTTGCAGCTGTTCAGTCAACAGCGCGTATTCGCGCTGCAAGTACAGCGCATGCTCCGACAGCGGCTCCTCGACCGCGGTGCCTCGCCTGCGTACTGCGCTCGGCCCGCGTTTCTTCTTGGCCGCCATGGCTGGGAACTTGGGGCACAGGACCTCGTGAGGGCACCGCCTCCATGCCGCGCCCCCAGCTCAACAACCCCCATTTCCCCACCCATAATATTCTAGGGCCAAGGGTGGGGCGAATCTCAGGGTGGTCAGGTTTGCCGGAGATCGGGGCTGGACAGCTGCTCCAACCTTTAATCGTCGGCTCCTGAGGACTTTAGTCTAAAGGCGCCCAACATTAGTCATGTTGATGTCCAGCGGTCACAGTCGCTGTGGAGACAGAACTTAGTCGCCCTCCCCACCCTGTTGCTTGGGCAACAGGCCGATTCCTCATTCTTCCCTCCCCCGCCCCCGCCGTCCCCCAAGTTGTGGGGGACAGTCTGTATCTGCACCCCGCAGAGGTCAGGCCTGAATGGGAGGATTACTCCTCCTGAGAAGAAAGTTGGCTTCGCTTCCTGTCCTGACAAGACCTCGGCTGCCACCCAGGCTACCACCACGCTCTGTGTGCCAAGCCCTGTGCTCTTCTTCCGTCCATCTCGGGGCCCCTGGATGCCCCCCCATTTTCGACACATTTCCTTCCCATTCACAGGTGAAAAACTCCATTTGTCTGGATGGCACTTACCGGTCAGAAAGAGACTGGAGGAACCCAAGACTATGAACCTCCACTAGCCTTCGGGGCTGGAAAGGAATTCACCCTCGAGGTCCAATTTTCAGTCAAGCTATACAGGGGAAACAACAACATTAGAAAGATATGCCCATCGGGGAGTGGTCAACCATTCAAAATCAAAAGGGTCACATTTGCTTCGGGGCAAAGTTGAGATGAAATGGGAAGGCGAGTGGAATGGAAATTGGAAAGTCCACGGGGAGGAAGTGGGCTAACTTGTTGCCTGGCGGGGGTCTCAATCACTGAGCTGAAACAAAGAGGACCAACATGTTGAAGGTGACACTAATGATCTCTGTAAACCTTCACTCAATTCACAGTAAAAAGTTTAACAACACAAAACCAGCATATAGGAATTTTGGCCTTAATACCGGTTTTTATTTTGAAAGTGCTCCCTGCAAAATAAAGGAAGTGGCCTTCAACACCTTTTGGAAGTTAGGGAAACATGCCCTCGGAGCCCATTTGGATGTGTTCTGCTTCAGTCCAGTTCAGCCCATGGCCAATGAAGCAACAGCAGAATGGACCCAAAATTTTCAATGTAAATGACCCCCTTGCTACCTAGAAGAGTAAACAGTACAGGTCAAAGCCCTTCTGGAAATGTAACCTTCCTCTTAGTGAGTGTGGCCTGCAGCTGCTTTGGCTCTTGAATGCTGAGTTGGAACCAGGGGCGCCCGGATCAAAGATGACGGCCAATCGAACGGCTTTGAATGTGTATGGCGCGCCATCGTCCTGGTATCAGGCTCCTGAAAGGGCCCACTAGCCTCTTAGAGCCTTCCATCCCATCCTGTATTTACTCCTTCTGGGTGGGTTTTCGAGAATCACTCCCAAATTCGGGTCTATTCCGGTTTCCCTTTGGTGTCCAGGACGGAATTGGCTCCAAGACTTGGTTTTGGGCTCGCCCCTCCCCTGGTCCCGCGCGGGCAATTCAGTCCTGGACTCCTCCAGCACGCCAACCCTACTGTCTCCCGGACCCCTGCCCCGGCATCCACAGCCCCCAGACACAGCCTGCCCTGAGCCCAGCCTGTGATCACTGTCCTCAGATTGGCCAACAGGCTGCAAGAGGTGGGTTCTTGCTCATCCCGGGACAGGTTGGTCCCCCAGCCGCCTAGGGCCAGTTCCCTCCGCCACTTAGGGCTCCAGGCGCATAGCGCTCCCCGCATACCCTGGGCGGCGGAGGATTTTAATGTGCTTTCGTTTCAGCCTTCCGTGCTTTTCGATGGTTTCTCCTAGATTGAGACTACAAATGCCTCTTCCCAAACCTTTGGCGAGCAGTTCCTTCTCCGCTGTCTCTAACTTCTGCCAGCCTTGCTGCTTCTCAAGTCCTCTGCAATCCCGCGGGGACAGTTAGGGGACTCGCACCCGATGCCCTACTTGGGCGGGGTCTCTGGACCTTTGTCCCCGCCTCCTGCCCCACCCCATCTCCTTAAATGCTCTCCCCCAATTTGGCCCCGCCCAGATTCCTCTCGGGGGTGGGGGTGGGGGGCCTGCTCCCCATGGAACATCCCTCAGCTCTCCACCTGACAAGATGCTACTTCCGGCCCCGCCCCGCTCCCCAGCTCAGCTCCTTCCGTTTCTCCTTTCTGAATATTCTAGAGTCCAGGTGAGCGAATCTCTGGGTGGTGAGGTCTGGGACAGGCCAGGGCAGGGCAGCGTCTAGCATTTCCTCGTTGGGTCCTGGATCTTGGCCTCTGATTGGCGGCAGGGCTGGTTAGCGTGGTTACTCTCGGAGCTATCCCTCTCAGGATTGGAGGGTACCTGGGACAGCCCCGGGCCCCTTTCTGCCTGTGTGTGTCCTGGGGACAGCTGAGGTCCCAGCCAGTCCCAGAGTGTTAGGGCACAGCGCAGAGTGAGAAATTCAGTCCCGGATCTCCGGAGAGCAAGTTTGCCGGAGGACAAAGTGTCAGCTATTGCTTGAACTGCTCTGAGCCCGAGTGCTTGGTTACGTATGGGTGCGTATGCAGGTGTTGTTAGCTGTGGGGTGAAAATTTTTCAGCTAGATGCTTTTCCTGTTACTCAATTTTGCAAGATTTGTTTTAGTTTTTCTTTTCGCTTTTCCTGTTATATGCACAGAGTGGCCAGGGGGATACATGCTGGGGTTTTTTTTGTTGTTGTTTTTTTTTTGTCTAAGGGGGTGAGGCAGGGCAGGAGGGTCCCAGGTCTGCTACAAGCGGACACGTGCAATATCTCTCCAGCTTGGGAAACTTTCCCCCTTGGTGCATGACTAAGGTCTTTGTTCTCCACAGGGGCCTTGGAACAGACAATGCCTCCTGCAAACACAGGCCAAGGGACGCTCATCTGGAAGGAAGGGAACTGTGTGCTCGTTGTCTGCTCAGCCTCTGCCACCACACACAGCTGTCCCAGTCCCTGGCCCCTCAGCGCCCTCTGTGCTGTGGAGTACCTGGTTCTACAGAGGACACAGGCTGTGCGACTTGTCTCCTGTCCCTGAAAGCTCCCAGTGGGACATCCCCCACCCCATGGCCCTGTCTTGCTGCTCCTCCCGGGGTGGGCCTCTTCACTAGGAGTAGCCAGTGGGATTGGGCTATGTGTCTGGTCCCCCACGCATTTCACAGATGGGAAATGGAGGCATGAGTGGCCTGTTCATGGCCTCCTCCAGGCACTGGAACTGGGCCTTGGGCCTTGATGGCTTCTTTCCACTGTCCTGTACCCCAGCTAGACCCTGGACTAAAGACAGTGCCCACTGCTTCTACCAAATCCCACCTCACAGGAGCCCAGGGTTAACACAGGGCCATTGTCCGTAGGCCTCTGCCCACCACAGAGTTAGGGATGGCTTTAGGGGATGCCAGAAACCCCATCTCCAGATCTAAACGCCATGGTTAGACAAAGGGTCCCTGGTGGCAGGTATACCCCAGGCCCACAGGTGTACCTTGTCCTCTGATCAGAAGCATAACACTGATGGTGACCACCAAGGCAAAGGGAGCGATGGGCAGGAAGGTGATGGCAGTCCTGCGGACCCTGTTCACCCAGGCCAGCTGGCGTGGGTCCTGCCCGGCAGCCCCTTCCCTGCAGGCTTGCCATCCCACCCACACCTTCATGCAAGGACCCCGCCCCATGGGCTCCCCACCACCAGGTCCCTCGGGGTCTGTACCAGAGCCACACCAGACTGATGATCAGGCCCAGGGGGAACATCCAGGCCCAGGCCACAGCTGCCCCTGGAGTACATGCTCTGGACACACACATGTGCAAGGTGAGGGCCATGGACACCCACCCGCTCCTCCAGAAGGAGCCTTGGGTGGGTATTGGAGCACAAGAAGGGCAGGTGGGCTCTGTGGGGGCTACGGGGGGGGGGCAGGCTGAAGGGGTCAATGGGGTCTCAGCTCTGGACCTGGAGTCCCAGGGCCTGTGGACTAGGGATCCCTCATCTCCCCTGACTTGCTGGGGCCTTGGGGGTATAGTCTCATTGGCAAGCATGGGGACTGCATGGGGCCCCAGAGGTGCTCACCTACCGTGGTCAGTGAGGAAGAGGATGACAATCAGGAAGCTGCCCAAAGCCCTGTGTAGGCCCCAGTGACAGCGCTCACATGCAGCTCCGCCAGCTGGCTCAGCGCCACCTCTGGGACAAGGACTGTACGAGAGCACCCAACCTGGCATCCGGGCAGGTGATCTTGGAGGCACCCTCCCCCCAGGGTGCCATGGTAGGTTATTGGAGTGACTAGGGTGTAGGGTACCTGGGGCCATCATCTGCTCTGGGAACAGGAGAGAGCTAGGAACTTGGAGGTGTCAGAGCTGGAGAAGCCCCTCCTCTGAGGGGGAGGGAGATGATGAGCTACAATTATGACCCAACTGGGGACAAGGCTGGGATACCTCCGCACTGTGACAGGGCATGTGGATTATGACTCAGATGGGGTGGAGGTTGGACGCAGGTCTGTGTCACATGGGAGGGGTGGGGTTCATACACACGGACAATGATAGTCTGGGAAGGGGCCCTGTGAGTTTGGTCTCCTGTGCAGTTGAAGCAGGAGGTGAAGGCTGCACACCCCAGAGCACAGAGATCAGTACCCACGTCAGGAGCACCCCCTCTGGTAGGTAATTTCATGTGTCAGCTTGGCTAGGCTGGTTCCCAGTGGTTTGGACAAACGCTAGTTTAGTAGCTAAATCACAGTGTATGTAATGTAATCACTTTCCATAATTCCATCTAATCAGTCAATCGGTTGATCTATGGATTTACCAATTATAAAAACAAATGGATTTCCTGCCTGCCCTTCCCCCCTGAAATACTAGGATGGACTGTCTCCATATTTGCACGGAAGACCCAAAGAAGGCAGTGATGCCCAAATCAGCTGATCACAAGCTGGCTGTATGTATGAAGCAGAAACCTCAGGAGGTCTGGTCTCAGTGGGAAAAACAT